AACCACACAAAAATGCTACCACGCAAAAAGAATATTAGCAAATTATTCTTCAAAAGCACCTGCTAGATGCTTGGGGAATAAAACGGATGGCTGGGTAGAGAAGGCAGAGAAAACACACGCGAATACAACTTACGGTAAGCAGTGTTAAATATACAAGTAGAAGAGGAAGAGAAACGTTGCTAGCTGTTTGGGATATATGAGAAAAAAAAAGGAGACAGAAAAAGAGATAGGATAAATCAACTTTTTGCAAGCTCTTTATTTTCAGCAGAGGGAAGAAGCAGCGGAATGTGATATTTTCTGCGGCTGTGGGGGACCGTTCAAAGCAGTGGCGGGCTAAGCAACCGAAAGGTAAAGAGGCTGTAGTTAGAGGGAATGACAGCAGAAGACAGGAAGATTTTAATGGGAGGATTAAAGATGAGGGAAAGGAGGCGATGGAGGAGGTATATGAGTAGTGGTGGTGGTGGTGGAAGATGTCTGTTGTTGGACTTTGTTGAAGTGGTGAGGAAGGGGAGGCCAAGGGAAAAAACCTGTGGAAGCTCAAAAAGGGTTTGGCCGAGTTTAGCCTGGGGAGCGGCTCCAACTTGCCAGCACTATTACTCTTGAATTCACAACGCTTCAACTTGGCTGGTTCCTCCCTTTATCCCTTGAGGCACCAATCCACTCAAAGAAATAATAAATCTTTACTGTCGACAAAGCAAACCAATCCAAGTATAAATGAATAAAGAATATAGAAAACCTACACGTTTCCCTCGCCATTCTCCCTCTTCATCATCTTCTAGAAACACTTCAATATTCCAGTTCTTCTTTCTATCTACGCTGTATGTAAGCAATATGCCATGTATATATACCTAACATACCTGTAAGGCAAAAAAAAAAAAAAAAAAAAAAAAAAAAAAGAAAAAGAAAAGAAAAAAGAAAAAGAGAAAAAAGGCAATCTAAGGCTACGTCCAGCATGAGAGAGAGGGAAACCCTGTGAGACTTGAAGGAAACAATCTGAGCCGTATACTATGCCGGATGAATTTTACGTATGTGGGTTGAAAGAGTCAGCAGCGAATCTTTTGAATTTTAGGCTTTAGCTATTTATTTCCTCAGTTAATATAATAAGAAACTTTGCCATATAGTTCTCGCTGAATCTACGCAAAATACATCCTACCATCAATTGATGTTAACATACATACATACATACATACATACATATATATATATATATATATACATCCTATCACCTTTTAGGATATTTAAGTGCAGACGGGGATATTTAAAATATGCATTTGCTGTGAAACACTACTAGCTAGTGGTGGTAAAAATAAGTTTATAGGAGGGGGACAATATCCCTGGCACAAAACAACCACACTAACACTCAAATTCAAACAAGCAAGGCCAAAATGAAACATAGGGGCATCTACATTATACTGGGTAAAATGTGTGAAATCTCATGGAGGCATAACGAGGAAATGGAGGACACCAAGCCCAGAACATAGCAGAGTGTAGGGTATTGGAAGAAGTACGATATAGAGATAAAAAATAGAAGAGAAGCTCAGAAACGTCTCAGAAAGCTGTAGGTGTGCACATGTACAAAAACAAAATAAAATAAAAAAGGGGTGGTTTATAAAAGTAGAGTCGTATAAAATGCCATTGTGGAACGCCCGAGTCTGAAGGAAGCAGAGGAAGAGAATTGAGACAGGGCGGGTATACTCGCAGATGGAACAGAGCAGAGAAGAGTAACATAAAAAGTGAAACATCATAAGGGAAAGGAGTAGGAAAGAACACAGGAATGGGGAATAGACAAGATATAAGGGAGATATAAAAAGAGACAAACAAGAATTAAACAGAGCCAAGTAGACGGAATCACGGTTAATGATACGGTTTTCGCAATCATTCATGTATGGACAAGCGTAGAGCGGTTGTTTCTTCGACGATCTGAAGTTTGCAGCAAGGAGAATGCAAAATCGAAACGAAACAAAGGCAGTCATAATTTCCCATCGTTGCTTTTCAGACGTCCGCCTGCATCTTGAAGGCCTGTTTTTCCTCATCTACTGAAGTGCGCTTGCGCATGATGGCATCCTGGCTGGACATTCTCCTGCCTAGCGCACGTTTCGACCTTCGCACCCAGAGCGAGCTTGTTGAGATTATCTGTTTTCTCGGCTGTAGGCACAAATCGCTGTTTGGAGAGGGGTTTGTTCTCAAGACGTTCTAGACCCGCACCGAGTTCTTTAATTTCAGCCAGACGGCTATCGCCAGTCATTGCGCTGGAGATCGTGTGGTCGGATAAAGCGAGGGAGGCTGTCCCGCTGATTGTGGAGAAACGTTGGGAATTGGAGACCTGTTTTCGCCCCGTGGGGTTGGGGGGAAACTCAGTATTATTATTCTTGCTCCGGCGTGGTTTTGAATGGCGTGATGTCAAGGTAGAGGAGAAGAAGGGGATTTTGAAAAGGTGGAGGCAAGAAGATTTTTGGAAAAGAGAGAGCTGGTAAAACCATACAGAAGGTGCCATTATTGGCCGTTGAGAATCTAGAGACTGTGGTCGAGCCATGAAGAAGAAATCAAGGGTTTCTGAAGGAGATGAGACAGGCCGTGCGTCAGTCACTTAAGTCTTCCCAAGTATAAGGTAGACCCTTGTTCATGGAAGGGGTTTTATATACAGACCCTAGAACCTGATGGGTCTGAGAATGGAGCGTACAAGAACGAATCAATTGGCTTGATTTCCCTGTTATTAGTATCTTGGATTTCTTCTTTCCTTTTTTGAGATTGTGTGCACTAGGTGATCGAAGTTTTGGTTGAGATCTGGTATCACAAAAGTTAGCACAGTCGGATGAGCGCCTCCACTCCAATCAGCGGAAGGCTGAAATATGTGATAGGTGGCTTGGAAGTTAAGTCACAGGGCAAGAGAGAGAGAAAGTCCTAGGATCCATGGCATAAATGTAGACTAATAGGTGAATCTTGCAGTCGCCAATCGGCGGGAAGAGAGAAAGCCCATAAAGCCGCAAAGACGCCATTTCCTAACTGTAAATTCTTGGAGAGGGGGGAAGGAGAGAGGAGGGGAGAGGAGGGTCTGACCGACAAATGAAGCTGACAATAGAATCGACGATGCCTTGACGCACGAGGGAGATGATCTTCGCCGGCTCACAGTAAGGTTACGGGCAAAATGGAACGTAGCAGATATTCCGGAAAGAGGGAGATCGGGGGCCGCGTGGACTTGGGATGGGGAGATGAAGATGGTGAAGGCGCTGAAGAGACAGAAAAGTTAGCGAACGACGTTGGCAAACAGCAGTACTGGGCCGTTTCGGGTTGCGGGAAGTCTGGTCGTACTGGTTGCGTATGGCCGTGACGCGGTAATTTTCAGGGCAGTCAAATAAAAAAACCTGCTGCGCATTCCATTTGTCCCTGCGAGTTCGTTGCCTTGGCCAGAGAGGTCAAGAAATAACTACTCATTTAAACTCTCCAATAAGTATGGCCACGCAATGAAGAATGCTACTGTTGTTGAACCTGCCTATGTCCGCTCATTCCTCTGACTACTAGTACTACTGGTAGTCAAGAATGAATGCAGGCAGTTGATACGGGCCATCTGAGTTACGCAGTACTACTAACTAGTATGTACTCGACACCTGCAATATGCCATGGCATGCAATTACTCTTCCATGCTGATTTCCATGCTCTGACGCTCAGCTCCTGCCCCTTCCACATCCCCACGGTGGTGATACGATCGGCTATGGCAATCGAAGTCCTTCGGTCTGGGAACATATGCAGGGGCTCGTTGGCCACATTTTAGCATGGAAAATTGTGGTGACCTGTCTCTTCATTTTCCTCCCGATTGTTCACGGGATCCGTAATTGTTACGGGTTGCCTGATCCGTCGTGTGCTTGTGTGCTCGTTGCCGTATTATTATATTGTTACCTTGTGTGTTCAAGGCACATGAAGTGAGATAGATGAGCGCCTCTTGAATATTTCGACCGACGTTGGTTCCCTCCATGCAGCCGGCCGATCCCTCGTTTTATTATTTACGCAGTTAAGAGAAAAGGCTGGATTGCTCGCAAGGAATTTCTCACAGAACTTGTTTTCCACCAAAAACGCCCCTGGTTTTTCAAAACCAACCTGTGCCAGGGCCAACCAATGGGATCCGGCATTTGGCGCGGTGGATGCCCCATGCTGTCGTTTTAGCCTCATCCTGCCACGTGTGATTTGCCTCCATCATCTCCAGGGGGTGGCACCAACTCGCCACAGTGTGGATGCACGGGGCATATGTCATCGGCTGGGCCAAGCTTCTTCCCGAACTTCTTCCCAAGGAATCGAATGCATTGTTGCCAGCCATTCTGTCCCATGAAGTGAGACCCTCACAAGAGGATTGTCATGGTCATGGTAATGGTACACATTTATTGGATCCTGGGCGAAGAACAGTGATGAGAAACAGAGGAAACACAGACGGAAGGGGAAGGGTCCGGACAGGAATTGAATAAACCGTAGATCTTCAATTTCTTGGCTCTCCCTCATCCTATTTCTAATTCTGTCGAGCTTGTTTGTTTACCCCATTGGAGAAACCTAAGGGGTGTCGTTTATTGCAAGGATGCTGTGCAGTAAGATATCACGCATCCACCACGGCTTGGTAGCATAAATACCTCCACCCACGGTACGAACTCGCACTCCATCAAACCTGTTTTCGACTCGATATAGACATTGCTGCGGGTCTGGGTGTGTTGCACGCTGAACAAAGGGGTGAAGCGTTCTTTCGGCCAATAAAACTTCATTTACATCACACAACTGCAGTCTTCCATTCAGCTTCTCTGCATCTGCTACGGAGTACTTTGCTTCACTTCATACATACACTGCAGTTCATGCAGACATCCATCCATCCATCTACCTACCACCACCGATCTCAATGCAAACAATAAATCGAAATAGTAGTTGCCGCAAATTTTAACCAGCAATCAGTGTTGACGTAGTAAAGTTAATGATCTTATCTTCCGCAAAAGTATTAATTACTATCCTTTAAAGCTTGCATTACATATGTAATAAGTATCAAATATTATGAATCTGGAGGGTGTCTCCTCTAGTATTGACGGCATCGATGCAAAAAGGAAGGCTTATCTGCAGGACCGGCCTTCAACCACAAGAGTGAAAGGAGGCAATTAGATAAAAGTAATTCAACTGCTAATATTGGTTCATTCAATTGCTAAAATGGGCGTCAAGTGCATGAGAAATTCACAAAACTATACTCTGTATACATGAAAAAATTATTTCACATTCGGTTTAAGTCCATAGGTTTATGCTCGACCCATGGATCGACCCTTCGTTGATATTTTTCTCCTGAATCGATGCATCGAGAACGTCGCTTTTTACGTTGGAAAATGGAAAAAGGACTGTACTGCACATTAGCTTGAGGAGCAAAAAATTTCATTTCCGATCGCGTATTCGAAATCCAAGATGATCGAAAATGAAAGAAAAAGTAAAAAGTTTCTCGCTTTTTCCATAAACCAGTCGTCTTCTTCAGATATACGCAAAGCGTCCCACAGGTTGATCCCAACTCGAAGGACATACACTGTCTGAAGTAGTACTTAATGATATCCTTCTTAGCCAATGCCTTGTTTAGCGAATAAATTCTCTATTGATATCAAAAAAGAGCGGGAGCAAAAAAATTGTAAATATTTGATGGATGAAAAGCATGCTGAAGGAAGCTTAGGCCAAATCAAGGAACTTAGATCTAATCTTATCAATCCCTTGAACCTTATTTCCCGCACTATTCTGGTTAAGCTCATCCACCAGCGTCATCCTATCAATTTCCCCCCCGCCATCTTCCCAGGTCCGCTACTTTGGCCACAGGATAAGCAATCAGATGCGGTTTGGTTAACCCTTTGCTTGCTCGACCCACTGCTGTCTACTGCTATCTACCTGCTTTCGCCATCCGCTATCTATTTTTGTCGACCTCAACAGTCAATCGCCGTAAGAGAAAAGCCGAATCCCTACAGCAAATCTACCCGGTAACGACCCCTCGCCCGCCAGCACAATGCCAAAACCAAAAACACTGCTAAAGGAAATGAAGACGAAAAAGAAATCGAGGAATACTGTATGTGTATTATGAAGAGCGTCTATCTGAATTTACTTCGCAGTCTCCATTTGGGTTTCTTCCCCAGCTACTCTTCTCTCGCGCAACGTGGTTCGAATGCTGTGCCTTCTTTTATTAAAAATTGTTATCCCCCAGAAAAATTCGATAAACATAGCATTTTTCGCCTCCCCTCCCCTCTTCTCCCAAGCTGAAAATCACCGTTCTAACTATTCCCTATTTTTTAATAACCTCCCCTCACCCACCTTTTGCCCCTACCTGATTTCCATATCCGATGAAATTAAATCATCTCCCATTAACCACAAACGCGATTAATTCCCAGGAACCCGAAAGTGCGGATGAATACCTTGCCGGTAAGCACAGATATACACATATACATGGCTGGCCCATTGCACATTGCCATTGGCCATTGCTATCCCTCCGCGCGAGCCCGTAACGAGCTATATCCAGCATAGAAACTAACCAACGACCTCAACCCATCCATTTATTTCCACCCAGCCGGCGTCGAGTTAGAAGAAGCTGGAGAAAAATGGCGAGCCGGAGACGCCGTCAAGTCCATGCGGTTTTTCATGCGCGCTATTGAAATGTATGATACAGGTCTGAGGAGGTTTCCGAATTCGTTTGATTTGGCATACAATAAGTACGTACCAAGTGTCATTTGCACAGGCTACTACGCCCCCCTTTTTTTTTTTTTTTTTTTTTTTTTTATTTTTATTTATTTTTATTTTCCTCGTCATCGAAGGAATTAGATTAAATTAAACTCGCTTCCTGGCCATTCACATTTCTTTCCTTCATAATTTATTCACATTACACAGGGCACGGATACAATACGAAATAACCCAACATCCAAAACTAGCAACCCAACTCCCTGGCCCGGCCGTCGAAATCCTCCACATCGCCCTCAAATCCCACAGACACGCCCTAACCCTCCAGCAAGATAATGCGGAAATCCTCTTCAACACCGCACAGGTATTGACGAGTTTAGCAGAGGCGATCACGGAGGGAAAACGGGCTACCGAGCAACATACACATGAAGCCCGCAAATATTTGCAGGAATCGTTGGACCTCTTCCAGCGGTGCCTAGGCGTGCAGGAATTGCGGTTTACGGAAGGACAGCATCAGCAAGTTGAGAATGTGGCCATGGCGGAGGCCGGTATCGTTGATCGCGACGAGCAGAAACCCATTTCGATAACAGATCAGCCGATGGAGGGGTCTGAAACTGGAGGTGGAAGCGGGACGATGGAGCCCACACGGTCGGAGCAGTGGGCCACAGTCATTGAGCCAGTGACCAAAGATACACTTGTTGACACCGCTGTAGCGCAATTGGAGACATTGGCTACGTTTTGCGGGTTACTTACGCTCGATCCTGGAAGCACTCTTGCATGGATAGAAGAGTATTCTGCAGACCTGCTAAGGGAGAAAATTGCGGTATATGTAGAGGGGACAGACAGGCAGAACGAGGTAGCGCTCGCCCGTGCCAAGTTCATTTCAATGCTGGCGGAAGTCTCGTTTCGGAGCGGGAGGATTGATTTTGACACATATAAGAACGAGCTGAGCGCAGCATTCGGAGATGTGAAGGATTTGTCTGCGAATCCGGGAGCGCTTTGTGGCCAAGCAGAATCGCTAGTGGCGTTCAATTCTGCCATGGCAGATTGCGACCAGCCATACAAAGAGGACACGTTCAATAGCCTGTTAACGCTACGATGGCAAGCGCTATCGTCAGCCCTGGATTCGCTTACTGCGGCGACGAAACTTCCCGAAGCTCAAAATTTACCCAAGATCCACCTTGCGAGAGGGGACGTGGAGATGTATCGTTGGCGCTTGGGTGGGCAGCCTTGGAACTATCAAGTATCCAACGCAAATGCCGCCACCCTCCTGAAAAATGCACAGACATACTATCGTGGAGCGGCTGCTCTTGCCAGAAGGGACGGATTAGACGAACAGGATCTAGAAGGGGCAGCAAAAGAAGCACTGGCCTTTGCCTTCGCGGACGACATGCAGAAAATGGAAGGATTGATAGCAAGCTCGGAAAAGGAATTGAGGCAGATAGCGGAGGATATGGTTGACGACGGCTTGGTTTCGGCTGAGGACATGGAATCGGCTTTCCGGAAAGTTGTCCCGGATGAGATCGTGTTCTGAAACCCAGTGATATAGCCTGTAAATTTTTTAAGACCCGAATTGTTGGTTATCCTCACACAAGAGATACAACTCTCTACCATATCATCCATGTTCAGCTCGTAAACGTCGAACGTAAAACACCTGCATAATATTATGAGCGTTGAGCAGCTCTGATTTCATTGTCCATTTCCTGCGCTCTTTACGGAGACCTGGTTTGCATCAAACTCTTCCGTAGCGGTTGCTGCGCCCTCCACGTCGCTAATGACGGCTTCAAGGCCCAGACAATAATCGCTCAATCTCCCGTCTCTGAGACTCGATTTTCTCAGAAAGCTGGACATTCTCCTTTTGCACCCTTTCCAGCTTCGTATTTAGCGACGACTGCGCTTCTGCGAGATACGGCTCAAGGTGAGCTTGGTAAAGCTCGTTCGCGCCGAGAGTGTGAGGACTATAACAAAATCATTAATTAAAACAGGCCACTTTTGTTATTTCCAATGTAAAACCGATTTGGATTTTCAGGGATGACACTCCACAGAAAAGAAAAGAAAAGAAAAGAAAAGAAAGGAACAGGAACAGGAACAGGAACAGGGAAATAGGTAAGGAAGAGAAAAGCAACTCACGGCACACTCGCCTCCCCCTCCCCATTCTCCCGCCTCAGCCTCGCCTCCCCAACCAACCGATCCAGCTCATTCAGGCCCCTAACCACCTCCCTCTCCCTTAACACGTCCTCAAACTCCGCGCGCGCGCTCTGTTCCAGCTTCGCATTGAGCTGCCTCCATAGCGACTCGAGGCTGAGCGGGACATGTTTGGCTGGCGTGGGAAAGCAGGCGGAGAAGTTCGCGTAGGAATTGGCGCGGAGGGTGCGCAAGAGGGCTTCGGAGAAGACTTGTTGGAGGCGGGAGGCGCGTGGTCCGGGGGTTAGAGGGATAGGGGCCGGGGGAGGAGGGGAAGGCGAAGCGGGGTCTTGTAGTGGTGGTGGTGGTGGTTGTTGTTGTTCTTCTTGCTGCTGGGTGTGGCCGTTTGGCGCTGAAGAAGTTTGTTCTGGTGGCATTTTATTTCCTCTGAAAGGGGAAATCAGGAGATGTCGCTCACGTATTGAGCGATTGAGGGATTGGGAGGATGAGGGTGGAGTTAGATAGGATTGCGCGTGACGCTTTGCGAGGTTGCGCGAGATCACATGACTTAATTTGGATAAAATATGTGTTTCCCAGAAGGTTGGAGAGTAATTTACTAGAATAAAATGCAGATTAGTGGCTACATGATCTTGAATATTCGATACTTACACTCTCTAGAAGTCTTTCATTGTATAATCTTGCGAAATCAGCTTCAACTCTGACCAGAGACGAAGCCTGATCAATCCCTAACCTGAAACCAAATATCAAAAATCAAAACTAAAGCGGATCCAAGGTCATATCATGACCAATTAAAACTGCATATGGAATTAAAGAGTTCCCACATTAACATAAAAAGATAGATGCCCATCGTAGGTTATGAAGTAACACGAAAATAATAGATCCCCCGTCCAACGACAAAAAACGCCGCGCTGCTCAGTCCACCCTCCATTTACCTAGTCGTCAAATCAATCAATTAATCCAACATGTCAAGCCTATTGGTTCAAGGAAAAGCGGGGGGAAACGTAGATAGAAACTGAGAGAAAGCCAAAAAACCTCTCAATAGCCGCTTTGCGAAACAAGTCCTGATGCCCCGTACCCACCAGCCGACATCTGCTGCTGTTGTTGCGCGGATTTCTGAGCCTGTAGCTGGTTCAAATCCTGAAACCAGCGATGGCGCAGCGCATCAGCAGCACTGATGCGCATTTCCGGCCGAAGCTGCAACATGCGACTCAACAAGTCCAATCCCAACTGGTCGATCTGTGGTAAGATTAGGCGGAGATCCTGTGTCGCATAGACCTGGAAGTTGGGTTTGTACTCAGGGAAATTGGAGATACCGGGCCACGAGCGCTCGGAGGGAGTGCCCATTAGACGGAAGATCTTTTGCAATTGGTCCTCGTTCGTTGTGCCGGGGAATAGGGGGCGGCCTGTATACATTTCTGCCATGATGCAGCCGGCGGACCAGATGTCGATGCTGGTGTTGTATGTCCTGCTACCCAGGAGAACATCTGGGGCACGGTACCAGAGGGTGACGACTTCATTGGAAAAGGTATTTACGGGTATTCCAAAGGCGCGCGCCAGGCCAAAATCACCCAGTTTCAGCTGGCCCTTGGTGTTGATGAGGAGGTTCTGCGGCTTGAGATCGCGGTGGAGGACCCTGTTTTCGTGGCAAAATGCGATGCCGCGGAGCAGCTGCTGCATGAAGGATTTAATGGTGACATAGTCTAGTTGGCCGCGGTCGCCGCGTGAGTCCATGTAGCGTTTTAGATCCTTGTCCATGAACTCGAAAACAAGCATGAGTTTGTTCTCTGTGTGGATGACGTCGTAGAGGGAGACGATGTTTTCGTGCTTTAATTCTTTCATGAGTGATATTTCTCGGATGGCTGTTGATGGTGTGCCTTCCTCCGAGTCTAGGTGGATTTCCTTCAGCGCGACCATCTCGCCAGTCTGGCGGTTGCGCCCTTTGAAGACCTATTCACACAAATATCACATTTTAAACAAAGTCCATAGTAAGAAAAGTAGGAAGCGGGTGAAGGGTTAAAAAGGATCGCGTCACATACTGTAGCATAGGTTCCTTCACCAAGCTAAATGAGAAATACGAGTTAGTTTAACTTCAAAAGAAAATCTTCGGTGAAATAAATTTCAAAACCAACAAGCCGCATACTTTCTCAAGCTGCTGAAAAGAACTAGGTGGTTGTCGTTTGTCCATTGTACTGGGCGCCGCTCGTGCTGGCGACGGACGGAAGACTGGATCTTGAGGAGAACGATGGTTTGCCAGAAAAGTGCTTGGAGCGACGAGCGAGGAAGCGATATTTAAATAAGAGGCCGTCGTCGCAGCAGTAACGGCGGCGGCGGCGGCGGCGGCGGCGGCGGTTGTGGATGACGAATGGTGAGGAAGTTCCTGGTGTTCTATGGATTGGGAGGGTGTGGAGGGGTCCATAGCAAGATTGTCGCGGGGTATATTTGTGTTGTGAGAGGGTTGGAGTCATCCCCTGTAACTAACCAGGTTATGTACCCCAAGGTGCTATGCTCAACAAATGGCAGACGATAGAGGGTCGGCCTTGAAGTAGCAGGGCCATGTCTTCGGGTGGATGCCCCGAAACTCCGCGAGAGCTGCTGGCGCTTAGGGTTTTGGTTCTTTGGCTCAAGGGGCATTTAGCCACCGGGTGGGCGATTAGGTTTTAAGTGGAAATGTCGGGATTCTTCTGGCCTTTCATCTTATGAAAATTGCCGCCCATTCTTTGATTAGATGTTTCAGAAACTCTTGAAGGTGTCCCATAATATTGTATATAAATAGCTAACAGGCTTTCCAGAGGAGTAGTGCACAGAGGTCTATTCAAACAAGTGTTTTGCATTATTATCGTCTTATTTAAAAAGAAAATTTAAAAATAGGAATTTAAACCCCTGTAGTTTCAAGAGGCCCCGTTGCTGGCCAAAATAAAACAATGAATGGTTCCTCTATATTAAACCAGAGAGACTGGGTCAAGATGAGCAGCAACCTGCGGAAGAACAAACTCCGCCCGCTCACTACATCTCACACGCATCGTTGGGTCAATGAATCCATTTCCATCCGCCTCCTGGAACAGTCTAGCTTCATTGCGGACGCCCCCAACATTCAAAATTCCAATCGACATCCCCCGCGCGATGGCGCGTTCCACAAATCTCCACGCGGAGAAGGTTGCCAGGCTACTCCCCAGCACAAGAAGTTTCCCCGCCTCATCGACCGCATCTTCAGCTTGCTCCTTGACACGCTCATCGACCGATTCTCCAAACATGATCACAGCCGGTTTCAGTATGCCCGCGTTGGAAGTGGGAGAAATGGCCCCATCGGGTTCCGCCTCTACTCTTCCCTGCGTGCCGTCGCGGAGCAAGGGCGGATTCTCCAGGCAGTGGGGACACGGCGGATAGCGGAACTTCGAGTACGGGGCGTTGGGGAGATCCACGTCGCCGTCTGGATTCATCTGTAGCCCTTTCTTCTGCTGTTCCTCCCGGTCATGTGTATCCAAGGCGCCCGTCTTCGCAATCTGTTCCAAAAACTCAGCCCAGGCTGGATTAAGCCGTAGCAACACGGCCTGGAAGTCTTCCCGCGACATTGGCCGGCGACAATTAACGCATACAAGCGAGCGTAGATAGCCATGCAACTCGACCACTGGGATATGCGGGTGGGCCTTGGAGTGGAAGGAATCGACGTTCTGCGTAATGACAGAGGATATATAACCCTTCCCACCCAGCTCGCCAATAGCTGCATGTGTATCGTTGGGTTTGGAGTTCACGAGCGTGGGCCATCCGACAAAGCTGCGGGCCCAGTACCGCTTCCGCGCCTCGTGCTGGGAGACGAATTCGTGGTAGAAGATGGGGCGGTAGGTTAGATTTCGTCGGTAGGTGCCATTTTCCCCACGGTAGTCTGCGAGGCCCGAAGCGACGGAGATGCCAGCGCCTGTGAGCAGGACAGTTAGTTCGTTGCGGCCGACATCTGTGCCTCTGAGGAGGGGCGGGGGAGGGGCGGTGAGGAAATTAGAGATGGCATCGATTGCGCCAGAGATGGAGTTGGCTGAGCGGGGGTATATAAGCGGAGGAGGGAGAGGGCCCGTGAAGGGGATTCTGATCAGGGGCCTCGACATGAGAAGAGCGGCATGTTGGTGTTGCGTAGGAACCACGCTGGAGAACCGTGATCGATGATGGTAACTATTTATTCAGCACATCAAGGACTTTGAACCCTTGTTTAGCTCCGGATCCCAGAGGTAGAAATTCTACTCCCTACCTAAATATAGTTTACCAGTTAGCTAGCTAATAAGAACATCGGTGTTATTAATTGACTGCTTATTTTGTTGCGGTAGTCAGCGGTTATGAAAGTTCCAACGTGAGCTGGCGTTGGGGAATGGTGTGTGGTCTGATCCTCGGTGCTGTGGGCATCCGGAGCTGGATAGAGGTTGTTGCGTCGTTCCTCTGCTTCAAATATTCTATTCAAAAGCTCACCGAATTCTGTCTTCTCTTCCTCTGAGTGCTACGTAAGTAACTAACTACCCACAGCCTAATTCTCATCCGATTTATTTCTTCTTAATAGTAACCAGTGCGGAGGAAGCCTTTGAATTCTGCATCCGAGGGCTGGCGGTAAATAATGGTACCCTGTCTCGCCTGCTGGCTTGTCGATTTATCTTAGCTCCGGGAGCTACATTCAGAGCTATTTCTCGAGATCATTTGTTAAATACCTTTTCTTTATTATCTTGTATATTATTTTCCCAGACAAGATACCTACTATTCCAGTCGGTCGATGCTGCGACTCAGGTCATGATCTTACCGCAGCCTGTGGGTTGGAGGGGCCGAGTCCGACTGGCCAGGTTGCGCCTCAAGGCGCCTCTTCCCATTGTGCTGCATCACGAACTCTCGCTTCATTCTCGTTGCATACAGGTTCCACCGCCCCTGCAACTGGCCCAGGTCTCTCCTCCACAGCCTGCTGTTTCAAGACAATTCCCCAGATCGTTAAAGCAACGTGTCTCGCCCTATTCCAATCCCACCGCACAACCCTTGTCCTATGCCCACAATATAATTAACACCAGATTACCACCTCTTCACCCTTCCATCCTCTGCCAGTCCTCTCCACCTTTCCTCGCATTCATGACGACGACGCAAACGAGATCCCACGGCGGGCACAGCCACGGCCATGGCCACGGCCACCACCATCATGACAATGTATACTTAACATCCAAGAACAAAAACGACCCTGGTGTGCGGATCACGCGAATCGGCCTCCTCACCCAACCTGGTCCATGGCAATAGGAAAGGGATTTGGGGGCTACGTATTCAACTCCTCCGCATTAATAGCAGATGCCTACCATGCTGCCACAGACCTTGTGTCGGACTTCATGACTCTTGCCACTGTGTCCCTATCGCTCAAGCCGCCAACCTCACGGTTTCCCTTTGGCTACGGGAAGGTCGAGAGTCTTGGGGCTCTGGGCGTGAGCAGTTTGCTTTTGTGTGGAGGTGTCCTGATGGGCTTAAACGCGGCGGAGGTTCTGCTCACGCAGTTTTTCCCAGCCATTGCTGAGTCGTTCGCGCACCTGGGGTTACTGGGACACGGACATTCCCACAGCCACAGTCATGACCATGAGCTGCTGGGGCCGAATATTAATGCGGCATGGCTTGCGGCGGGCTCCATTTTAGTGAAGGAATCGTTATACCATGCCAGTAAGTCCATTATCACCGTATTCCCGTAATATCTAGCAAAAGGGACTGACATTCATGACCCCTCGCGCCCCTAAACAGCTATGAAAGTTGCTCTCCAGCGAAGATCCTCTGTCCTGGCATCGAATGCCATTCACCACCGCGTCGATTCGCTCACAAGCTTCGTCGCCCTCCTCACCATTGGCGGCGCCCATATCCTCCCCGACGCTTCCTGGCTCGATCCAGTGGGCGGGCTGATAATTTCGCTAATGGTCATTCGAGCCGGATGGGGAAACACGAAGACCTCATTGTTGGAGCTAGCGGACGTTGCTATCGATGAGGAAATGAACGCGTCTGTGGAGGAATCGACTCGGAAAGCTATAGCGATGCTGCCGGATGGCGGTGGGAGCGAGATAGAGATCCGGGAGGTGCAGGGGATTAAATCGGGTCAGAATCATCTCATGGAGATCGAGTTGGCAGTCCCCAGCTCGTGGTCTGTTGGACAGACACGGGTGGTTGAAGAGGCTATTCGGCAGCGCGTTGGTTCGCGGGTTCGAGGTGTGAAGCGGCTAAAGATACGGTTCACACCGAATACGGAGCGGGATGCGAGCTTCTTCGAGGAGTTTATTGCGCGGGATGCGAGCCCGCGCAGCAGCCCAGAACCAGAAGACGACGAGGCTAATGGATCTGTTCACCATAGTCACCATGACCATGTCAAAGCTGGGGCTGTAACTTCGGAATCACAGGCTGAGAATGAAGGGATGGCCAGTAAGCGACGCTAAACCTTCTATATCCCATCCATATTCTCGTGAAGCGAAACTCCCTTCTTGGCCCCTTTTTTGTTTTTATTCTTGGTTTACCGGACCTCGTCTTTTCACAAAGGTAAATGCTGTGTCAAGTTTAGGCCAGGGAAAGATTATATATCCCTCTGGGACACTCAACCCTCTACCCTCAGCTCGAGAATTTCCACTTTTTCCTTGTTCCCTCCGGGCAGATTGTCCACATAACAGTTCCTGTAAATCATACACCGTGGTTTGAGGCGAGTTGACCAGTTTATTGGCAACGATCAGTAACAATAAGAAGATTGCAAAAAAGAAGCAAAGCTACATGGTTTACTGGCGTTCGAAGAGGGGTTTTTTTTTTTCATCTCCATGTTATTTTCTGATAGTATCCTGGGCTAGTTTGGTGTCTTCGTTTTCGGTGGCTATCGTAGTCGTTCCTAATTGATTCATTATTTTCACTCCCCGCGGATCAAAGATAAATTTCAAAGCCTTTTTGTCAGATTACCCCATATACAACGGACAGTCGTTCTCTTTGTTGAAAGGGAATAGCTCTAACAAGCAATTGGGCGTCATATCATCTATGGCGAATTTAGTTATTACAAGATCTAGTTATGTTGTAACCTTGTATTTGCGTTCAGCAATAAAATTTTAACATCAAAACCAATGTCCCGCTTCAATTTTCATGCGACCTCAAGTTTTTTAGTCCTATGACGTAGTTAGTCCCTTCATTGAGCTATCTCCACCAAACCAAGCATATCCAACCATCGAGATCATGAACTAAAAAAGAGGAGTCTATGTACCCCCCACAAATCTTCAAATCTTCCATATTAACATATATACACATGTAAGAAATGGAACCTCAAGACGAAGGAGGGCCCCTCTACATCGGCTTCGACCTCTCCACCCAACAGCTAAAAGGCCTGGTCGTAACCTCCTCCCTCAAAGTCATCCATGTAGCTAAGTTCGACTTCGACGCTGACTCGCGCGGTTTCCCCGTCGAGAACGGTGTGCAAACCAACGAGGCCGAACATGAAGTCTTCGCACCCGTCGCAATGTGGCTGCAGGCGCTGGATGCAGTTCTGCTCCGCCTGAAGGAGCAGGGGATGGATTTTCGGCGTGTCAGCGCCATCAGCGGCGCGGGCCAGCAGCATGGCAGTGTCTATTGGAATTCAGACGCGGAGAAGATTTTGGCTGCCTTGGATGCGGGGAAGGGGTTGGAGGAGCAGGTTGCACCGGCGCTGTCGCATCCATATAGTCCGAATTGGCAGGATGCGAGTACGCAGCGGGAGTGTGATCAGTTTGATGAGTATTTGGGGAGCCCGGCGGAGTTGGCAGAGGTGACGGGGAGCAAGGCTCATCATGTAAGGTGTTTTTCTTCTCTTCGCTGCTTCTTCTTTTATGCTTTTGATGGCAATAAAAATTGATGCTTTGCTATTTTACTTCATTGTTATATCTCAATGGCTATACTAATTTAGGATTCCTTTTCAGAGGTTTACAGGACCACAAATATTGCGGTTCCAGCGTAAGTATCCGGATGCGTATAAAAGAACTTCGAGAATATCACTCGTCTCGTCTTTCTTAGCGTCTCTATTTCTAGGCAAGATTGCTCCCTTTGATATCTCGGATGTATGCGGGATGAGCCTATGGGACATTCAAAAGGACCAGTGGAATGAACGGTTACTTGAGCTATGCGCAGGATCGTATGGGGTGGCCGATTTAAAACAGAAACTAGGGGAGGTGCCAGATGATGGCGGCATGCGACTGGGGAAAATTAACCGCTACTTTGTCGAGCGGTACTCATTCAACCCGGATTGTGTGATAACTCCTTCCACGGGAGATAACCCAGCTACAATCCTGGCCCTGCCCTTGCGATCAGGGGATGCAGTGGTGTCCTTAGGGACTTCAACCACCTTCCTCATGTCGACACCGGAATATAAAACAGACCCCTCGACGCACTTTTTCAACCACCCAACAACACGGGGGCTCTACATGTTCATGCTGTGCTACAAAAACGGCGGCCTAGCCCGAGAACACATCCGCGACGCTATTAACAATAAGTTTAGCAAGGACTCCCGATCCCCTTCTACCTCTGCTTCCAACCCGTGGAATAACTTTAACGAAGCAGTCTTCCAGCGACCAGCCGCTGGCCAGAAGACAGATGCCGATCTAATGAAATTGGGCCTCTTCTTCCCCAGGCCTGAAATCGTGCCTAGTCTCCGCAACGGCGAATGGCGCTTCAACTACGACTCAAACAAAAAGACGCTACATGAATCCCAACAGGGCTGGGACAGCCTATTAGATGACGCACGCGCCATCGTTGAGAGCCAGATGCTTTCACTACGTCTGCGCTCCCGCGGCCTAGTTCACAGCCCATCCAAGGACGTGCCCCCCCAGCCCCGCCGGGTCTATCTTGTCGGTGGGGGGTCCCGTAATACAGCCATTGCCAAAGTGGCCGGAGGGGTCATCGGTGGGGTTGAAGGGGTTTACAAGCTGGATGTTGGAGAGAACGCGTGTGCGCTCGGGGCGGCGTATAAAGCCGTCTGGGCGATGGAGAGGGCGCCGAACCAAACGTTTGAGGATTTGATTGGGAAGAGGTGGAAGGAGGAGGAATTTGCGGAGAAGATCGATGAGGGGTATCAGCCTGAGCTGTTTGAGAGGTTTGGGAAGGCTGTGGAAGGGTTTGAGATGATGGAGAAGCAGATTCTGAGGCAGGAGGGGGAGGGGAGGAGTGTTGGTTAATTGTGTCATTCCCCGTTCTGCTCTCCATCCCAGTTTGCTGGACATATTGTGCGATCTTTTTTCGTCAGGAATTATGGTAAACCACCATGACTGAGCGAGGTTACCCCTGAGCCCCGGCGTTGTTTGTTTATTATTTGATCGTAGAGGTTTGGTTGCATGCGGAGAGTATATAATAATGATTTTCCAACTTATCTCATTCTAACAGTCCGTCGCAAATTCCGCCTATCTCCCTTTTCTTCAACTTACTGGGTATAATATAGTGTGCAATACTGCGCGGTTATATTCTGGAAGAGAGGTGAGATAAAAGGTATAAAAATATAGACAAAAATATAAGTTGAGAGCTTCGTTAACTGACATTTGGTGATTTGGGACGATAGGAGCTATTAGAACCCTGGCCCCTGAAAAATCCTGATGCTGACTGTCTCATCAACGGGTCATATCCGAGACCTGGAGGTGCAATCTCTTCATATTCCAACCGATAGCTCCTTGAGGATACAATGGCTATGAAGTTGAGATCTTTGCAAAGTATCCAACTCTATTTTGGGCGGTACTCACAGCCACATGCTCACCTTGCTGATATGGAGACTTTGAAAAAATCCTGTCACTCGTCATATAGATGTGCCAGCTGAAAAATTGAAGCCCTTCTCCCTCACTACTTGGCGAGAGATTCCATGGGGACAAGGGGTTTGTCTTGAATATTATGAAACTCGACCCAAGGTATAGGCCAACAGCAGCTTCACAGTCAGATATCAGATAAATCAAACCAATCTTTTATCAAACAATCTCAGCTTTCTCAATCATCTATATCTCACAGTGAGCTCATTATATTCTCACAATCACTTAAATGATTCAAGTCTTCAGTTATTGACAGCTTGGTAGTAAATGATTTTCAATCAGGGTTCTTCAAGCTAAGCAAAGTGAAAAGGGGCTCCTTTCAAAGATAACCGGCTCAATAAAATATAGGCAGATCCGCGTTTGGATTGTCTTTTGTGGGTGCTTGTGGAGGCGAAACGACTGAATCCTGCAACAGCATCGGAATGCATTATTTATCTCCCGACTGGTCCGTAGGATTCAATTGAACTCTACTGCCATCCGAGAGTGGACGACTTGTACAGAAAGCAGCTAAAGGCTGAACAGGAGTCGACGGCTATAGGCCTGCAACCGAAGCTCGATGAGCAGCTGCATAAAAGCAGCAACGCGTGGCGTGGATGCTGTTCAGGTAAAGCTGAATCTCGTGGGGATGCCCTCTTATATGCCAACTTCAGGGCGTCGCGGCACAGCTGCGGGCTTGATTTGCTGCACCACTGCAAGTGGACTGATCATAGCTTTGGATAGTCTTCAAACAACGACCACCGCTTCTTGTTGTAGCTTGGTAGCATATTGCAAGGAGGTCTGCATGGAGAAGGCAGTTGCTGTTGGTCCATTTGGTACAGGACATTGTGTAGTTTGGGTTGTGCTGCCCATCTTCTCAGTCCGAAGGCTCAATGATGTCCGCTTGTAGGTGATGCAGCGGACTTTCTGATTCGAAGACAGTGAGCTAATCAAAAAAAAAAAAAAAAAGGCGCGTGTATCGCAGGAGAATATCTTAAAGCACACGGTGGCTAATGAAGCAGT